AGCAGGAGGAGATGTCAGCAATGCATCAGAAAATAGAAAAAAAAAAAGGAAAATCCTTAACAGTAATCTGGAGCAGCGCCGCTTAAACTGTGGGTTGAGATCCAAATTGACTTACAGGCTTGTTGCTGGCGGGTCCCTTTATGACGAGGATATGAAATTTTTTAATAAGTCTGTTTCCCAGAGCAGGGAAAACTAATTTCTCACTGGGGTCCTCGGCTAAAAACATTTAAGAACCTCTCATCTAGACAACAAAATTCAGTGTAATATTGGGAAGTTTGTGGTGCAGATACTGACATGAGTTATGCATTTATTTAAGGCGGGAATATGACAGTTGTTTACACGCACAGGACTTAACGCAGTGTTTCCCAGTCACTTAGAGCTGTGGGGCATAAGCAGGCTACAGTTTCTCTCTAAATAATCTTATGCAATCCGTCAAGGCAAGACAGTAACACGCCCAGTGTTGCTCTCCAGGGATTTATTGCTATTGTTGTACTCAGAACTGTTTGCCATGAAAAAAAACAGAAACTACCATCAGGCAAAAGACCATGAACAGCAATTTAAATGTTACGCAGCAGTGCTATGAATGATTAGATGCGTTTTGAATGATAACTGTGCAACAACCACATCGTAAATGAGAAGTTATAAAGGGAGAAACAGTTCATAATGCTTTCCCGTAGTCCAGGGATATTTATTGAGTGCAGATAGGCAAGTAATTGTACATACTGACCCATTAGCACCATTAAATGCATGCCAGATAAGCCATTAGCAGTTACTTGTTGACAGTATATCAATGTACAGGTAACTATCACTAGATTGTTAGTTCGCCTGCTTTGTTTGAAGACTTCTGCAGCAACCAAATGATTTGTAGTTATCTAGAATCAGTGTTGAAGACTTGGAGAGTGTCTTGTGCTAAGCTAGCAGCTACTCGACGCTAAGCTTCACTACACCAAGGTTGTAAAAATAGTTTACAACAGAAGAAGCTACCTTTTAAGAGTTTATTTATGTTATGGTTAATTTTGTTTGTACAAACTCTAAAATGTTCTGTTGTTTACTGCAAGAGTGAACACAATTGTCCTCATGCACGTCCAGCATGTGAGAAATCTTAGTGGAGCAGTTTGATTTTATTTTGTTTGGCCTTTTTGACTTTATTCGATTGGAATGTCAAGGGAGATACAGGAAAGTGGGGGAGAAGAATGGGGGAAACAACTCGGAAAGGGCCATGAGTGGGACTCGAACCCATGACCTCTATGTCGGGGACTATAGCCCCTGAACATGGGGCACCAGCTCAACCAGTAGAGCTATCACAGCACCCCGATTAGTATCATCTTTGTTGGCAATATCAACAACAATAGAAAAAACATTGGTGCTAGCATGTTGTGCTACTAATGTGGCTAACGTTAGCGTTAGCAGGTCAGAGTTCTGTGGAAACTGTAACACAGAGGGACTTTCAGAGATACTTTAATTTAAAGCCAATAAACCAGGACTGTGTGGGTTACTCTGTTTCCATGTCACCTCTTGTGCTTCAGTTTAACTTCAACTCAGCCACTGTTGACATCCATTCACTTCTCTCCTGCTCTCTGTGCTCACATACACTATTTAATATGGCAGAATTCCCGATTAAGCTGTTCTCATTGATGTATTTTTCTGTTTCTGTTAAACGAGACGAGCTTATAGTGCCTAAACGCAGCTCATTGGGACTACATGCCCTGCAGAGTCGATGGTGACACATTTCACGTTCTGATCCTTGCGTTGTTATAACATTTTGAATAAAGCAGCTTTAGTTCAGAATCCTATTTGTGAGTCTGCTGCAGGTGTGTCAGCGGGAAAATAGCTGCTAACACAGTTAGTGTGTGTTTCTGTGATGAAGCATCAAGGTGCGATTTTGCGACACTTTTCAAGAGGACAACAGTCCCCCTCGAAAGACAAACACAGGAATAAAATCACTGTTCACATGATCGTATCATTTTGCAGAGAAAGAAGATTGGACTCAGAATGGGTCAACATCAGAACAGATGGGGCTCTTGTTGTGTGGAACAGAGGATGAGATAAAAAAAAATAAAAATAAAATAAATAGCATCATTTGAACAACTGAACAAAAAAACACTACAAAGCAGAAATAAAACCGTGGCAGGGCTGCACATTTCAAAATAGCCCGGCCGTTTTTTCCTGCTGATTTACATCAAACACTTCACTTCTCTTCACCGTGTGATCTCCCCCGCCGCGGTAGCAGGAGCCATTACAAGCTTTTTACGGACGCGCTGAAGACCAACTTTGGCCGTTGATTCGGTAACTGTGGCGTTTCCCTCTGAGGTGATGAGTCTGTAAAGGACCCTTGATGTTTCGGGGGGGAGTTTGAAATGACAGCAGAGCCGCTGATTGAACTCGACTGGATTCACACTCAGTCATCCGATGGCTGTGGATCGGCAAATTCCCTCTCAGGAAGAGGCTGGTGCTATTTTCACATGAGCTTGCTCAGAGACGTTACATGAAAAGGTCTAGCTGTAGGTAACCCCTCATAATGTGAGAATTATCAATCTTGTCGGTGTAATAATACTCTCAGTTTATTTACTCCACATAACTAAATCCAATTCTTGAAAAACCTTCATCGAGGCTATCGTCACATTCAGACTCGGAGGGGATTGTTTCCCCCCCTTTGGTCCTATTAACAGTAAAATGTGTTCACAACATTTTTAGCCGCCGTCATATTAGAAAAACATTCAGTGCAAATCAGTTCTGTCAACACTGGCGGTGGAGCTTCCACAATTACCAGCTGAATCAACACCTCGTTGACACAGCGGCGACGAAAGCCGAACATAATAAACTTTATAAAACGCCGAATTTATTGCAAGACTCGTTGTACTGGATTAGAATAAGATACATTAAGGGTGTTTAATAACCAGCACAGCCTAGTATGTGTGATATAAACAGAATATATAGCGATAAATCATAATTTCACAGCAAGGAACTTCTAACCACCACCGCCGCCGCCCCATCCCAGACTGGTGGATGTTTCACATGCATTTATGTCACAGCAGGAAAAGCACAACTGGAATAAATACCGATGACTCAAGTTTGTTTCAGGAAGCCGTGACAGTGAAGCGGCGAGCCAAATAGCAGGATTTCCCCCCGAAGTGGAAAGCAGCCATTAATAATACACCTCTGTCTTTTTACTGCTGTGACATGTCAGAAATGTCAGCTGTGAAAATGGCTTAAAGCCCCGGGATTTAAAATCAAGCCTGACTCCGGTTAAAAGTAGCTCTCAGACATACATTTTTAAGTGAGTCTTCAGCCGCATGCGAGCCTTGTGCGTGGCACAGTAGAGCGACGAACTCGACGATGTTGCCGGCGTGGCAGCGCTCCAACAACGGCAACGTACGGAACAGTTTAATGTAGAGTCAAGCTGTAGGAATTGTCTTCTTTTTTTTGTTTCTGTAGCTCATTACAGCAAACGTTTTTCTTGATTATCACTTGCTGTGTCATGACAGCAGTTATTTTTGGCTCCAGTCATCAATCAGCTGCAGTACAGAACAAATAGGTGGTTATTAAACTATGTAAAGGTCCATGAAAGGTCCACGATGAACGAACACCTAAAGAGAAAACTCGGAGGCACTTTACATCTGTTCAGTTCTCTCCTGCTCTCTGTGCTCACACATACTGCATATCAGTGCTGCCAAATTTGAGATAAAGTTGTTCTCATTTGTGTATTTTTCAGTTTTGGTTGTCCGCCAACGCAACAAGTATGAATTTGTGACTGAAATACAGCTCGTTAATCGCTTCCAAGCTGCTGCTCTGCACTGCTGTAATCCTGGTATTTATACTTGTGGCATCATCTGTAAAAATCACCAAACACAGTTAAAGATGGCTGTGTTGTGAATTTTTTATGGTATTCAGAACTATTACAAATGTCAGAAAACAGTTTAACAGTAGAAAAGAAGTTGCTTTAGCTGCTTTGTGCTTGTTAAAATGTGAGAATCCACTCTGTCTGTGCACTTTTTTCCCACTTTGTTAAGGATTTTAATAGAAACGCAGAGTTCTTTTGAAGGTGCACGACTGACTTCAGTATTATTATTACTTTTTCGACTGTGCATATTTCACCACCTAACTGATCATTTTCAGTTGGGAACATGTTGTAGTGTCGTGTCGGTGTTTTTTTACAAGCTCTAAATGATTTAGTAGTTTACTGTGGTCACACCAACCTGTCATTGTCTAGCAGCTAAAGAAGCTGGTGGAGACCAAACATGGAGCTAAAAGGTGAATGTTTGTTGAACTTATGTTTATCAGATGACCACAAACAGGGCTCTAAATCAATGCTAATGTTGCTCTGTGCACTCAGACAACTGCTTCCTATTAGGTTAGTCAGAAATGTAAAAATGATCTTCCAGAAGTTTGTGTTGTTGTCTGTGTCTCTATTTATTACTATCTGATAAACTAACGTTGTTCATGCTGGATTCATCTTTTAGTTATTTGGAACACAACAAAAATTTTGATCTGCAAAATTCACAACAAAGTTTGTCGAAACAAAATGAACTTTAGAGAAAAGTTATTCATTTCCATTAATCAAAGTTAATTAAATTGATAGAAAATGCTAATTCGCAGTAGCCCTAATGTGGTTTACAGCTAAACACATCCGAGGCAAAAGGCAATGTCATTAAATGTGCAGGGGTTTGGACATAAACCAAATTAGACAAACTAAAGCTTTGACCTGTTGATTATTCCACTTAAATCTGAGAGGACAGTTAGTATTTGTACCAACGCATTCAACAGTTGTTCATAAATTGCACCCAAAACCTCAAATGTCAGCGTCATGGTGGCAGAGATTCTTCCTCTGGGAAACAATGAGCCGCCGATGCATTCAGTAGAGACAAGTGGAAGGTTTGAGACTTCATGGCCAAAAAACCCCAAGAAAAATCTAGAAGTTGTTAAAGTATTTCATCCTGGTACACGGTGGGAACAACGTGTTGGTGCACAGATGGTCAAAGGAGTCGAGGCTTTAGTCACACAACCATAGTTTATTACTGATGTCATCACTTACACAGACGAAGGAGGTGTCAGCGATACCTGCTGAGAGGTGATCAGCAAATCAGACTGGAGTAACTAGTTGAAAACAGTTTGGGGGAACGATGTGCTGTCATCACCCCGCTGGCGACCAGATGCTGTGTTTTTAATTTACACTGCTCTTGTCAAAAAATCTGAACTCCGGAGCTGCGATACCAAAAAAAGAAAAAAAAGAAAAAGAAAAAAGAAAAATCTGACAGAAGTGGCAGAAGGTGGCTGAGAGTGATTTTCAGAGGAAAAATAGACCATGACTGGATTCAGCTTTTTTTTTTCCTGTCTGTTAACAGCTGGTAGGTTTGATCAGTTTATAGCGCTTTCAGTACCGGCTTAGTCAAGCAGTCCTTGAATGTTCAACAGCATCTGGGTTGAATGGAACACCTACTACACCGCTAATGATGAGTGTTCATGTATTCCTTTGAAAATCACCCTGAAAACCCGCCGCTCGGCCGCACACTTTCACCTGTATTTGAACTTTTTGAAAACGACACTTTGTTAGAGAAGAAAAGCCACAAACCGACTGTTAAACAAAACAAAACAAAAAATCTCATTTCGCGTCTCAGTGTTTGCGATACAACATACTGACCTGCCGTTCGCTCCGGACAACGCCGTGATGCAGGATCCCTGGTGACGGACACGTTACTCTAGAAGTTAACATAAAGTTCATCGCTGCGTTCCACTACGAGTAATGTCAGAGATTAAATCCTGTTGTCCAGTAAGGCTAATCATACGTCCTTCAAACAGAACTCCACTCTTTGATGTCCACAGAGTTCAAGAAGAAAAGTTTTTTTTCCAAAAGATTAATTGCAGTCCAGAAGAAAGTCTCTATTTACAGAAAGGTCCTTTGCATTTTTCTTCTCCTTCTTATGATCCGACAGACCAGAGCTGTTGGTTCATCTGCGGCGGAAGAAGAAGACAAAATCAGAGCCGTGAAATCTACAATAACATCAGAATACAGTCAAAGTAAAGTTACCCCACAAGTAAGACAGTAACACCTTTTCTTTTCTGTATGACATGAAAAAACACAGATGGAACTGTGTGTTTAACATACGCAGACAAAGAAAGGCAGAAAAAAACTGAAAAACAAAAGGCCACGGCCTACAGTAACAAAACTGAACTTTACCAGCCGAAAACTCCCGCCCACGCTGACTGACATGTCAAAGATGTTGGCAGAGCCGCTACAAAATCAGATGCATAATTCAGCGCCGAAGCCCATTTTCATTCTTGCTGTTTTATATCGGCCACAAAACTCATTATCTTCAGAGGAAAAATACGACTAAAGGTCTAAAAAACCCCCCACGAGTGACCCTCAGATGAGAGAAACCGTAGAAATGGCGCACGAAACAAAGAGCATGTGGGCAGTTGAGCTGTTTGAAGAGTCCTAGCAGTGGTTGGGTTTCGAACTAAAGTTTATCAAAAGGGTTTATCCCATTGGAATAACCAATGTTTCGCAAATTATCGCCCCAGTAAATAGATTATGTGAGGTTGACGACCTGAAGGTGACGCTGAGGGAATGTTTCTCTCTTGGCACCGGCCTGTGTTCATGAAAATTACATATTTTAATAGTTTATTTCCATAAAAATAATCCCTTTGTGTCTTAAAATAACTTAAATGGAGCTCTACACCTTTGCCTTCTCTTTCTGAGTGTGGAGCTGTGGATATGCAAATGTACACTGTAGAACTACTCTGCACTACACAGTGACAAGTTGTAATATTGGAGTAATTCAGCCATACATGTTTTAAACCCATCCCGAAGAATAATAATGAAGTACTGCAAGTGAACGGGATTGGTTCCTTGGGTTTGTTGTGTATAAAACCTTTGCTGTTGGAATTTGAACCTGACTGACCAGTTTTGCCGATTATATCAACCCCGTTGGTGCGGGGTAAAGTGTCATCTTCACAATAACCTGCTAACTAGTTTGTGAAACACGTTGTTAGAACATTAGGAACCAAAGACGCCATCATTTTCCCTTCTCAGTAAAACTCTGCAGTTCTTAGCAAGAGACTGAATTTTCTACGATGGAGTCCTTGAAACCCAAAATGTTTGTTTGGGGTCTTTGTCTTTTTGGAACACCCGACCAAGACTCAACCTTCTGGCTGAGGATTTTGGTTTTCCCGAAGAATGTGGTGGTAATCTTCCTTCATCATTATATATATTATACTTGGTGTAAAGCTCCAGCTACACTGGCAGCAAAACAGCCCCAGAGCATGATGCTGCCATCACCATGCTTGATGGTAGGTTTGGTGTTCGTGGGATTAAGGGCCTCACCTTCTTTCCTTCAAACATATTTCTGCTCATTGTGGCCAAATAGCTCAGTTTGTTTCATTTTCACAGAACTTTCCTCCACAAGGCTTTTTCTTTGTCCATGTGATCAGCCAACATCAGTCAAACTTTAACGTATTGCCTATAGAGGAAGGACTTCCTACCTGTCACTCATGCTGATGTAAAACACTGTGGACACTGACAGCTGTGTTCCAGCAGCTTCTAATTCAATGCAGATCTGCTATTTAGTGAGTCTTGGTTGACTCGTTGCCAACTTGACTAATTGTCTCTTGGCAGCAGGTGATAGTTTTTGTTTTCTTCCTGATCGTGGCAGTGACACAGTTGTTCTTCGTATTTAGAAACTCTTGTTTGCACAGATGATTTGAGGATCTGTAGCTGCTTTGAAATGGCTCCAAGTGACTTTCCTGAGTTGTTCAAGTCAATGATTTGCTTTTTCAGATCTGTTCTGAGCTCCTCTGACTTTCCCCTTTTGAGTCTAATGATCAAGGTGGCTTTATTTCAATTGGCTCAAATGAGTCAGCAGCTGTAGTCGACTATAATCACTCATGGCAAGTGAAGAGGTCGTGCCACTAAGAAAATCTGATTAACTCAGCTTTCTACATCACCAGAACTGATAAAACTGAAAGTTACTGCCAAAGATAAAAAAAACATCTGAGGAGGAAAGAAGTTGCTTTTGTTGCTCTGTGCTTGTGTTGATGTTGTTTTATTTAACGTACAGACTGAACTTGTTGTTCTCGTTAAGGGGTTTATTGGAGCCTGGATTTCTTTTTGGAGTTGTGCTACTGACCTAAATAATAAACCCTCTTTTTCTTTTACAACTTGTTCTCATCATGTTTTTGGATTTCCAGTTTAGCTATACAGTTTTGCTTTTTAATATGTAAACCTTTGCTTAAATTTTGTGTTGTGCTGCATTATACGTTAATATACAAGTTCGTCAAAATGGAATGAACTTAAATGAAATGGTTTTGCTTTTTTGTCGCAAACTGAATAGTTTAAATCAATCAACCAATCAGTGTAATAGTCGATAGATGATTTGGATTAAAAATACTTGTTGAAGCTGCCGTATAAATAACAATATTGAACAGTTTACTTTAAAATAATCGTCTTTTCAACGGACCAGCATGGTTTAATTGACAATAAGTTGTTGAACAGTGGCTTCTTCTGACAGTTAAAAGATAATAATTAAGTTTAAAATGTATGTTTTGGAAAACACCAGTAGAACTCTTCCAGATTCATCGTCATCCCTCCGTCTGATAAACAGCGGCGTCATGTACCTGCGTTCCTTCTATCTATTAGGATGCTGTACGGTATTTGGGATAAAGATAAAAAATGCTGGGTAGTTGGGTTTGTGCTCGACGCCGAGGTTTTTCCTCCCCGAGTTCGCTGCTGTCAGACACTCTGAAGACCTCCGTTCTCCTTGAGATTAAATTGCCTGTCATGAAGCTCAGTGGCTGACTGGCAGCTCCTCTGCTCTTCTAAAAGTACATTCTGGAAAAGGCTCTCGAGGAACATAACGCAACAACCTTCATAACGGCGCCCGCTATCGATTCCGGCCGTCTGTCAGCCGCGTGTTTGACGGACTGAGGGAAGCCATCGGCCGACTTGTAAGGCCCCCCATTATCGATGCTGAACTTCTGATAGGAAACAGACAGCTCTGGTAGCCGGGTTAGATTAATTCACAAATGGGCTTCTTTTTTTTTTTTGACACAGAACGGGGCAGAGCGGCAGCATGCCAGTGCATCCTGTCATATAAATCATCCTCAATTATGCAGAGAAGCAAAACAATCCGCGAACCATCAGGCCATCACTTGTCAAGAAAACCTGCATAATCATATCAAACGCTGGGGTAAAGAGTCTCCATAAATTTAGGTTGTTGCTGCACTTTGCTGGTCGCTGCACAGGCTGCAATAAATTCCTCCCTTTACAGAGTCATTTACATTCGGAGCTGTCACTGTGATTAATGTGGTACCAATTTGAGAATAATTTCGGGCTGAAAAGACAAAGAGCGGTGCCGCTTCTTGTCAGAAGAGAAAATGTCTACAGAGATGGATCTTCGCTGTGACTCACTTTAGGAGGAGAGGTGGGGGGAATAATCATTAACAGTATTTGAGTGACTGTCTGAAACAATGCTAAAAATACTGGGAGGAAACAGTAAGTCTTTTCCCGGGTGTTGCGTTCGCTTAATTGGTGGCTGACAAGTGCTGATTTAACTGGCAAAGGATTCATCTCCATTTAGTGCCTCAAGTAAGGTTGGCTGAAAGATTTAACACAGCAGGTGCAGGGCTTGTGTTTGTGTAATTCAGCCGTGTAATTGGCACGCCGCAGTGTCCTTCTCAGCAATATGTTTGGTGTTATAACTACCGCGACTGGGCGCCTTTCTGAAGACGCACAGGGCAAGATTTTTATGTGTGAAGCTGCCGGTAAAATCAGCAAAAGTAGAAAAGCAGAGACGCCTTTCTCTAAATTAAATCTTCCAGTCTGGATTAAAGGGTACATCTTTTTTTTTTTTTTTTTTTGCCACAAATCAAACACATATAGTCTCTGTTCTTCAGGTAAATTTAGAGGTGAGATGCTGCTCTGCATGCATCTGAGTGGTGGTGAGAAATTTAGCAGATTAGCATCGTGGGGAAGGACAGATTTAGCGAGTGTTCCTGCATCAGGTTTATCTGTTACTGTGACATGAAAACCTGCACCTGCTGCAAACTAGTCATCCAGAAAGTTGGAAATGGAAGCACTAAATGCCACAGGTTGAGTGTCGTTTTTTTTTTTTAATTTATCCAAATCTCTTCAGCTCCTTTGCTGGCAAATCTGGTGTCAAACCTTTTATCTCCTTTCAAGTGTTGGTTTTTAACGACTGGCTGCTCTTTATAATGGAATATGGTTATTAACTATTTTGCAGTTTGATCAGTCTGTCGATAATTTATTGATTATTCTATGAGTTTTTGGTCTAAAATGTCAGAAAGTAGTAAAAAATGTTGACCAGTGTTTCTGATAAGACCAAGATGATGTCCTCAAATGTCTTGTTTTTGTCCACAACCCAAAGATGTTTAGTTTCATGCTACAGAGGAGTGAAGAAATACTCAAGTTTACAAAGCTGGAATCAGAGAAATTAGTTTAAAGTGAATTGAAATTAACATTTTTAGCTGTTAAGTTAATGCATTCGATGCAAAACTATTTCTGTTGTGAAGCAAAAACCATTGGTAAGAGGCAGAAGCATCGACTGTGGTTGTTCTGTAGTTCAACAGTGTGACGATTCCTCTGTAGAGAAATGATCTAGCAGATATTGTTGCAGCAAAGTTACCTGAACCACACTTGCTGTATTCATTCAAAGTGAGAAAATGCAACTTATAAAGGCAGTAATACAATCCTCCTCTTAGAAAACAATTAAATTTGTAGGCAATAAAACACCATATTGCTCAATTCAAAGTGCTCATAGTGCTCATGTCAGTGGTGTTGCTTCAGCAGCAGTATTAGCTCATACAGGTAGCTTTGGGTATTGTTGTATGTTGGTGTGGGTAAAAACCAGCTGCATTTGCATATCTGTGGAGATTCTCAGTCATCCAGGTCATGGTTATTCTCAGACTTTAGTCATAACAACTGAACTTGCTTGAGTTCCTTGAAGACGTTCCACCCTTCATCCAAGAGGCTTCATCGGTTCTGACTGACTAGTGGGGAGTTCCACATACTTATATCCTTAATGAGCCATTAACACTTGAGCTTCGGTTTCAGTTGTGTGTTGGTTGCTCCTCCCCTCTTTGAAACCGGAACCCACCCTACTAACGACTCGCATAATGAGGGGGAGGAGCAACAAACCCCAACTAGTCAGTCAGAACTGATGAAGCCTCTTGGATGAGAGGTGGAACGACTTCAAGGAACTCAAGCAAGTCCATTTGCTACGATTAGAAATACTACATTTGCAGTAAACTTAAAATGACAAATCAGCAGTACTTGTCTCAAGGTCTGATCAATGGGCAGAAATGATCTGAAACCTCAACAAAGAAGGTCCTCAAGCCCTCTGCAGATTTATTTGGTTACGTCTTACTGTTGAATCCTGAAGCGACCAGAAGAAAAGGTTGCCTGGACTGTCGGTAGTTTTGTGTTTGCAAGCAGAGTTAATTGTGGGAGTTTGTCTAGTAAAGGGTCACCATGACAGAGTCTCTTGTGATGATCAATGCCTACGGGCCAGAACTCTCATATTTTAAAACAGCATCACTGTGGTCCAGCTGATCACCAATGCCATTAGAGTGGTCACGTCATGTGGTGTTTTATGCCATGTGACCATGTTCAAAACAGCAACACCAGGACACAAACTGATGTCCACCAACTTGATTTCATGTATAGTTGATTACTGGTTGGTTGCTAGCGCTGCCACTTGTTAAGAAAGTCGTCCAGCCCTTCTTGAGATGAGGTGAAGTGTTGCTCTGCTGCCTGATTGCTCCCTCGACAATCCCACTAATATCCTCCTGTGTTTGATGCGCCATTATTTTCCGGTCTTGTAGTCACGTCTGAGATTACAGAGAAGAATATCTGTGAAGTTTCTCTTTGTATGAGTGATGCAACTCGATTTCAAAATCTGTCAGGACTTTTAAAACTTGTGCACAGTGAGCCCGGCCTTATTGCAACTTTGAGAGCAAAACACAAGCCTTCCCGAGAAATAATTCTCTTCCAACCGAGACTTCCTCATCTCCTCAAATTGAATTTCGAGCCTGGTATGAGCAGGTTATAGAACGAGAAGAAGTACAAACAGTCTAATAAAAAGCAGTGCTGTGTACACACCAACATTGGATTTTTATTCTCTCTCGTCCCTCAGGTACGAGGCATCACAGGCAGCGCAGGTCTCTGATGTACCTTTGAGAATTTCGGTATTTATCCGTCTAAAAGAGACTGTTTAAACTGTTACCTCTCAACGCCGTCAGTGGCTTCAAATGTACAAAACTCAGCGCCGCAGCTCAAACACTTTGCATGTACGTCACGCTGAGATGCGCTCCTGCGTTCTCCCCGCTGCGTCCACGGCTTTATAGTAGCCGGTCACAACTTTGTTTACATTTTCAATTCCTGAAGTGTTTGCGTATGGATGCATTCGTGGTCAGTGTAGCAGGGGTTCCAGGTTTCCATTGTGCTGTTTCCCCCCAAAGCTCAGCAAAGGGGAAGAAGAAGAAGAAGAAAGCGCGACCCCCCGCTGCTTCAAGCAGTCTGCAGAAACATTTGAAACTTAAGAAACTTGTTCCTCCGGCTGAGATCAAAGGTGCGCAAGATAAATCATCTGGGTAATGCTGCTGCTTTGAACAGGCTGTTGTGTGTTTGAATTGTATGCCTCTTCTCACTTGTCTCGCTATCTCTGGTGTAGTTACACAGCTGGGAAATGCGGTTAATAATACCTTTTGACAATGAAATAGTGATAAGCCACGCTCACTATTCATGTTGGGAATCGCTCTCTCTTCTTTCTTTTTTTTTTTTGGAACCACAGTGATTAAACACAAGTAAAATCTTCAAATATGAACACAATAAGAACAGATTCATCACCTGGACTCCGCTGTGAAGCATCTGACGTTACCAAAGCTGGTCTCTGTCAGCAGAAATCTTTCCAGACGTTTGCGTTAAAGAGAAGAGAAGATAGGTTTAGCTTTCTCACTTTCTGGTCTGATAATTAGCTGAAAGTCTGCTCCCAGACACCACTAGATGTTCTCACTCGTCTCCCCGGACCACTAAAGGGGGAAAAAAAATGATTATATATAGATATATATGCATCCCATTTTGAGGTCCCGACAAATCCCCCGAATCAATAGCCCCAGGCTCCAGGCTCCTGGCTCCAGGCAGGTGTGGTGCAGGCAGTTTAAATAATTAAGTACATGGAGAGAGGCACAACTGAAGTCTACGGGTCGTCATAACACAGTGAAGGATACGGGCGTCGGGTTGCAATGTTAAAAGCAGGTAATTGGAGTGAGTAATTGGCCAGTTTGGGTGCTCAAAGTGGCCTGAAAGTGCTAAGGAGACATGACAGGCCATTGATTACAGGCCCCAGAGGGTCCGAGCACCGACTGCAAACATTAGTTTTTAGGTAAAGGCGTAACAGAAGCCACAGCCTGTTGACCTTGCGGAGCTGGAGTTGTGCGAGGTCAGACTCAACAGGTTTAAAGATGGTGAAAGCGTTTGTTAAACCTACCTTGGTCGTTTTGATCTTGTTCCCCGTAGCACAGCTCCAGCCCTTCAGATCAGGAAGAACTTTGCATTCCTCCCCGTCAAGGCACGGATGCATCTGACACCACCACTTCTGTTCCACTATTGAGGCTGGCAAAAAAAAAGACGTAGAGGTCGAAGACCAAACTGTCAGAAACGTCTTCGATCACCCCGGCTGCAGTGTTATAAATCCATCAAAAGTTCAAGAACGTACGCTGCAGTTTGCCAAAGCCCACGCTAACTTTGGTTACTGATAAAGCACCGATGTTTTATCAGTAATCAATACAGGACTCAGATCAGGTCAGATAGGATAAAGATCAACTAGAGACGATTTTCCACTGCACAAAAAGCTTAAAGTAAGACTTTGCATAAATATTTTGAATCTAATGACTCTTAACTATGTTGAGTTAAGGGGGTTAGTTTTACTTCTTCAATCAAAGGTATTTATAATTACCACTTATCTAATGATGGGTAATGTAAACACAAGTTTTTATGTGAATTGCTATAAAGAAAATTAAGTTGATCCAACTAGTTGCCCAGGCAGGTGTAAAAATAAATCTTAACACAACAAAATGTCAAAACATCTGGATATTAATACACCAAAAAGCCAAAACCTGGATGTTAATGGACCAAAACAACAAAAAACCTTGATATTGACACACCAATACGTAAAAAAAAATCTGGATATTAATGCACCAAAAAAACAAAAAAATGGATGGTAATGGACACGTAAAACCTGGATATTAACACACCAAAAAATCTAAACCTGGATAATATTGGACCAAAACAACCACAACTTCGATATGGACACACCAAAACATTTCAAATCTGGATACTAATGCACCAAAAAAATAAATAAATAAAAAAAATAAATGGATGTTAATGGACCAAAACATTTCAAATCTGGATACTAATGCACCAAAAAAATAAATAAATAAAAAAAATAAATGGATGTTAATGGACCAAAACATTTCAAATCTGGATAATAATGGACCAAAAAAAATCAATAATAATTGGACCGAAACAAGAAAAACCTGAATATTAACACACCAAAACATGTACAATCTGGACAATAATGGACCAAAACAACAAAAACCTGGACATTAACACACCAAAATATAAAAAAACCCCTGCATATCAAGACATCTTCACCTTCTTTTGCCTCTTTCCAAGCTTTAAAAAATGTAGTTGCGCCAACTAATTTTTCCCTATCACGTGAAAGGAATTCTTATTTAATATGTACTTAATTAGCATAATTATGAACTCATGTTTTTAAGCTGACAGACATTTGAAAAATTAACTTGCTAGACTATTTGATTAACCAATAATAATCGACATCCCTGAGACAAGCATCATCTGGAGCCGCTGAGCGTTTCGATTCCGTCATAAATAGTGACTAATTGATTTTTCACCTCCTAATCTCAGCTCGGCACCAGTTAGTCGAATTTACGTTTCAAGCACATTTCCTCTTGACGCTAAGAGCCTGAAATGAGGCGCCTCCTCGAATATCTGTCAAAGCGTCGTAGCCGCGTCTCATCAAGCGCCGTCACATTTTGACAGATAAGTGATGTAAGATTTGCTGTTTGACTGCTAACGCTCTCATCTATTTTGAGTATTCAAACGCATGAGACTCCTTGTGATGCGTGTCCACGTGTCGAGGATGGGAACTGGAAACAGGTGCCACTCTGCTCATGTGGAGCTAAAAAAAAATAGAAACCCTTCAGTTGCGATGAAAGCATCACCTCAGAAAAACACGGTGACGTACAAGACATTTAAATCTGGCGTATTACGGCGGTCATTATCCGCATCTCCCTCCACCGGCATTAGCGTTCCTCCTAATGAAGAGGACGGTTATTATAATCCACACATAACGCCGGAGCCTCACTGGAGTGAACTGCACAGAATGAAGACTTTATGACATGAGGGAATCAATTTGTATTATACAGCCGCGGTTATAGCAGCAGTGCGGTGTAAAAAGTGCATCGGGTCAACTGCGAGCAGATGGTGGTTGTGTAACAGCGGCTATTAAAAAGCCACAAAGGTATCTCGTGAAATGAAATGGGACTATTGATGACCAAACATACAAAAAAGTGCATGGGATTCATTTCACTTAACGGTTAATGATGCTTTAAAAACATGAGGGCAGCTCGGGCTGAAAACATCTGGGAGCAAGAGGCAGAGTTATGCTCTGATGTATTTATTTTAATGTTTTTTTTTTTACCGGAGCTGTCAAACCTGCCTGTAAATCTCTGCTTCGACCTTGAGCTCGTATTCATAAATGAGCAGGAATGTTTGTTTGCATATATGTGGCGGTAACGTGTGTGATGATGGCATGATGTGAGCCACATCGATGGAGTTGGTTTCATACATTTAAAAAAAGAAAATGTCGAAGTAGCTTTAATTCCACTGGTGTGCCAGTCGGGAAGTACGATTTTTCACGAAGAATCTACCCTGTATTTGGTACTTTTTCTGCTTCCAAATGCAGAATTGCAATTTATTCTGATAAAATTTTAGTTTGCAAACATTATTTTGATATGACTTCATAGTGTTGCATCAGCCTAGTATTGTGTGTAATTTAACCCTTTCAACACTAAGTGACTTTGGCTTGAATTACCATGGCTATATGCCTACATGCCAGGGTCCTCACCAGGATCCGTTGCCAATTCCCGCAACTCGTAGTTTGTTGTTTGAACATAACTTCATCAGAAGTTGTTTTAACTCAAAAAGTTTGATGCAAACTGTTGCGTTTGTTTATTTTTTTGTTGCTCTTGATGTGGGTGTTTTTAAAGTCTAAAAATGGAAGAATCTGGATATTAATGCACCACAAATCCGAAACTTTGATATCAATGGACCAAAACAACAAAAACCTGGATATTAATGTACCAAAACATTTAAAATCCAATTAATGCACCATAAAAATCCCCAAAAATGGACGTTAATGGACCAAAACATGTAAAATATGGATAATAATGGACCAAAACATTTACAATCTGGATATTCATGTACCAAAAATCCAAAACTTGGATATCAATGGACCAAAACAACAAAAACCTGGATATTAACACACCAAACATCTAAAATCTGGATATTAATGCATCAAAAAAACAAAAAAAATGGACGTTATTGGACCAAAACATGTAAAATCTGGATAGTAATGGACCAAAACAACAAAAACCTGGATATTAACATGCCAAAACATAAAAACCCCTGCATATCAAGACATCTTCAGCTCCTCTTGCCTCTTTTTAAGCTTTAGGAAATCTGAAAAATGGAGCCAAGAGGAGGCCCTAAAAAAAAGCCCTGACTTGAATTACAACATACTGAAGGGTTAATATGACATTTTTTCCCCAGTTATACAGATAAAATAAATAAAGTACTGCTTACATCAGCTTTAAGCTGTCTTTGCTGTTATCATGTTTGGTTTTGTCTCGTGAGAACGTGACAATAGAAGTCGCCGTGATTGTACAAGACGACCCTTTAAAGAGAAGTAATTCAGAAAACGTTGCTTGTATTTTCTATGACTACGACTCAGAACTACACATTTAGATCAATTCAGGTTTTCTCAGATGTCTGGAGCTTCATTTGTCTTCATAGATAAAGAGATTGTCTCACAGAGTGCAGCTAAAGGTAATCCCTGGTCGTGGGAGATAGAATAATTAAAAGGTTAAGTGCTGATCATTTTTTTTCCCGAGATCACCCATGGAGCTTTAAACTGAGGCCAGTGGCTCACAGCTCTAATTTGCTGAAAATGTCAATAGGAAAATGTCAAGGAATAGGTCAAACATGACTGGGTCCAGAGTTTAGCCAGAAATACGCGCTTTTCAGACCAAAGTGAAGCAGCCACTTGAGCCGAGCCGGAGGTCTGACACATTAGCATGCTAAGAGACCTTCCAGGTCGCAGACTTCATAGTCTGCAGCGGACAGTCACAGTCGTCTGTCTGTGACTTAAAAAACATCTTTGAAAGGCTCCAGGATTCATCACACGACTCAAAAATCAGTCCTAATATTGGCAAATATAGTTAAGCTTGTACAGCTAATGGAGGCTGAAGTATCATCAGATAGGAGATCCAGAGAATATTTCTTATGTAAATATGCAAAGATGCAACTACTTCCAGTACTAAACAAGATCCGTCACTTCATTTAAAACTACAACGACTTTTGCTACTCCTACTATGTTACTATGTCTACCTTCATGCCTACTGTTCTTTAGTAAACACGTTATTGTACATTTTAAAGGGATAGTAGACCAATGAAGCCTTTCAAGGGAAAAATGACGTAAATCTATAAGTTCAAACTTAAGCTTATATTATTTGGAATTGTACAATTACTATTGCATTGACTGAGTTTTGACGTCTTAAAAGTCAGTTGTAGGGAGGTTTGAAGAAAAAAAATGATACTCTGTAGGCAATATTTGTCAGTTTACCTCATCCAGATATCAAGAACCTGGATGTAAATACAGCGAAACATCAACAACCTGAATGATCACACACCAAAATGTCAAACACAAGGACAATAATACACTGCAGCATTAAAAATCTGGATTGTAACACCCAAAAACATAAAATACCTGGTGGATAATAATAGATCAAAATATCAAAAACCTGGATATTATTGTGCAAAAACATCAAAAACCTGGATTATAGTGTGTGAAAACATAAAAAATCTGGATATTAATGCACCAAAGCAATAACAACCTGGATATTACCATGCCAAAAAATAAAATGTCTACATATTAATGCACCACAATATCAAAACCTGGATAGTAGTGAATTAAACCTCATAAAACCTGGATATTAATGGACAACGGAATCAAACACTTAGATATCAACACACCAAAAGAGTAAAAACCTGGATATTAACACACTAAAACATAAAACTCCTTGATATTATCGCTCCAAAGCCTTAAAAAACCAGGATATTAGTGTACCGAAATCAAAAACCTGGATTTTAATACAGCAAAACGATCAACAACCTGAATGATCACACACCAAAATGTAGAACCATGGAAAATAATACACTGCAACATTAGAAATCTGCATATTAACACCCAAAAACATATAAAACCTGGATAATAATGTACCAAAATATTAAAAACCTGGATGTTGTTGTGCAAAAACATCAAAAACCTGGATATTAATACCCCAAAACATGAACAACCTGGATATTACCATGCCAAGACACAACATTTTTGCATCTTAATGCACCAAAATATCAAAAACGTGGATTTTAATGCACCAAAAACATAAAAAACTCAAATAATAGTGTGTGAACACATAAAAACCCTGGATATTAATGTACCACAACATTACCAATCTGGATATTAATGGACCAAACAAACAAAAAAATGGACGTTAATGGACTACAACATGTAAAATCTGGATAATAATGGGCCAAAACAACAAAAACCTGAATATTACCACACCGAAACATAAAAATCCCAAACATTCTCTGGCTCCAGACTCTTTTATGTGCAGATTTGTTCCTTTCTTTTGTGATAGTAGAAGTATTTGGGGGGTTTTGTTCAGACAATACAAGCAACATAAACAGTCCAACTTGGGACCTGTAAAACTGTGACGGGCATTAATCAGCGTTATCTGACATTTATGGAGGGTAAAAAGAAGAAGAACCTCGTTTCCCTCTACACTGTAAACATTGTCCTTTAGTAGGACATGCATGAAATGGGCCGCAGCATACTTAAGCATGTTTTCACGTCGGGGATATAGAGAACGGCTAATTAATTAACCAACAGATTAATTAAAACCCACAGGGTAGCGAGAGTTCAGTAAATAATTCAGGTATTGAGATGTTGGACTTTAAACAGGAATGGCGTCTTTATGTGCGGCCATCACGTGTCCCGTCCACATGCTGCTCAGAAAATGACCTTTCTCATTTAATCCCATGCAGCTGTAATCTTACAGCACCTCTTAGAGATTAAACTTTTCATCAAGATTCATGGAAATTATCAGCAAAAAATTAAGACACCAAGGGTTGCCCATGACTTATTGAGGCTAGCGGATCGTACCATCTACGCATGACGGGGCGGCTCTGGTGGTTCCGGCCACTTGTCCGGGGAAGCAGGAGCACTTGACGGTTTGCGACCGCTCCTCAATCTTGTTCTTGTTGCAGCAGCGGTGCAACGCCACGACCTCGCAGGTGCCCGTCCGGACGTGGTGCGCTGCTGGAGACACAACAGGACAGATGGAGCAGTGAGCTGCAGCCAATCATCAGCCAGAACATCGCTCTGTTTGGTTTCTGTGGCATGATTTGTATCACCTCTATCTGTCCCAGTAGTGAAAAAAATTAGCAATCTCCTTAAAAAAAGTCAGTTCAAATATAACATATAAATATAACATTCTGTAAACTCGTTCATTCAACCTTTATGTCATCTATCTAGCGTGCCCTCATTTGCAATGATGTCGAGAGTACAACAAAAGCAGAAACAGAGCAGTAATCAACAAGAAAACAAACACAGTTAAAAATAACTACAGTCGAGAGCAAAGTAGTTTGTAATTGTGGTTTTAAATCGGTGTCGTTGTGTTAATGTGTGTAGTAAAATGTAATTTTTTAAAAAGAATTGTCCCAATGGAAGCATCCATCCATCATCTATACACCGCTTAATCCTCACTAGGGTCATGGGGGGCTGGAGTCTATCCCAGCTGACTCAGGGTGAAGGCAGGTTCACCTGGACAGGTCACCAGTCTATCACAGGGCTACACTTAGAGACAGACAACCAAGCGCACTCACATTCACACCTACGGACAATTTAGAATCACCAATTAACCTCAACATGTTTTTGGACTGTGTGGGAGGAAGCCGGAGAACCTGGAGAGAACCCACGCTGCACGGAGAGAACATGGAGACCTTCTAGCTGTGAGGCAACGATGCTAACCACCGAGTCACCTTGCAGCCTCCAATTGAAGCAGCAGAGGCCATAATATCCAGAGTTTTAGTCTCCGATGTGGGTCGAGCTCCAAGCAAACATTGTTCATTAACTCATCAAATCATATAAAACCTCGACATTAATGCGCTCACAACATTTAAAGAAGCTATTGTTAAATTAATGCTGAACGCTGAGGCGCCAAAAAATTAACTGTCTCATAATAAATGCAAGTTTTTACAAGCACTTTTTTTTTTACCTGAGGTTATGCATGTTTTATTTTTAATATTTAATGAAGGATATTTACGTGTGTAAAAATGAATACACCAACACTCATATATGTATAAGTCAGCTAAAGTGGATTCCATTAGAGAGCTATGAGTTTACCTCACAAGGTTAAATATTAAGTTAAAACAATATAATGTTATTTATCACAGAGTAGTTCAAATATTATGGTTAAAACTCTACAGAGTTATATAAAACACAAATATATTTGACTAGTAAGGAAGAAACAAACAGTTAATTGTAAACATGACTCTTGTTTGTTTGCAGAAAAACTTCACGTGGAACCTTTAAACTCACATGATTTATGAAACAGCAGCGAAACCACATCTACAAAACAGGGTTTTTGTTGTTGTTGTTGTTTTAACCAGTTTAAACTGGAACATTATAAAGAAATAAGTTATTTTACAGATTTTTCCCCCTGTTTGGTTAAATTACAGATACCAGAAAACACAGGAAAATGGATTATTTCATGTGTTAACTGTAAAAACAAACAAACAAACAACAACAAAAAAACAGGCCAAAACTGAATAACATCTACATCAAAAGTCGTTGGTAAATGATATTTCCTTCTTCTTCCAATGTTTGACCATAAAATTAAATGAAATATATTTAATTGTTTAAATCAGAAAAGAAAAAAAAAAATCTAAATAGTTTATAGATGTTTATCTTAATTTGAAAGAAAAAGTATTGAAAAATAATAAATAACATTTTAGTTTCCCCTTACAAATAGTAAAAAAAATATAAATTTCCATATTGACTATAAAATACACAAAAACTGTAAATAATGTCCACGTTAAAAATCTGGTTTATAAATAGTGTTTTCTTCTTTTACAGTGTATGAACATAAAATTAGTGTTTTGGTGTAATTAAATAAGCTAAAATTTGAATTATTTTACAGATATTTGCATTTATTTGAGCGTTACAGCATTCCACCATATTAAAAAACTACTATTATAGCATTTTTTTATTACAGTGTCGTTCTTTAAGCAGCACAGAGAAGAAAACCGACAGGATTCTGCATCATAACCACGATACAGATCACTATTTTTATCCTCACGGCCGTATTTGAATATCAAACGCTACCTTTTAAACAAATCACTCCTCAGGTGTGACTCCAGATTCCTCACGACAAGCAGCAGCCTTTAAATAAAACCTGGGAAAGTGCAGCGCTGCAGTATTTGGAGCCAATTTCCAGATCACGCTCCATTGTCTGAATTATTTAGAGCCTGAGCTGCTCCATTCTCTTTTAATTGCATGTGACATTTTCATGAGGTGTCCTTCTGCAGAGATACTCGCTGCCGCTGCGGTAAACAGTAAATCTGAAATGACTGCACGGCGCCGGTGCCGAGCGTCGGTACTGTAGCGGCTCAGCTGGACCCAGCTCATTTCACTTTTTTTTTTTTACTCTGGCGACTTATAGCGGCGGACGGTTCCGGGCTGCTAACGGTGATAGCATCGGCTGCTTTTCCTGGACTGATTGATATTAACCCCGATAATGTTCTTTTTTTATTTGCGCTGTGGAAGTCATTACTTTTATATTCAAATTAACTGTGGATCCAATATTCCTCGCATCAGATATTTCACCGCTACGATATGAAAGGTGGGAAAACACAATACAAACAGCTCGGAGACAGAAAAGGGAAAAGGGCCGTTTTGGTTACGCAACTCTCTTCCTCAGAAATAATGCAGGTCGTCGCCCGACAGTCGCGGGACTCCAAACGAGCGGCGATATGAAAGACAAACACAAGCCGAGCTGCTTTAGATGTTTGCGAGAGGAGCTGCTGCCAGGAGCTTCTCGCTCAGAGACTGGCTGGATTTGGAGTTCTACTTGGACGCCCGCTCAGCCTCCTCCTGCCAGCTCACACAAAGACGAAGCCTCAGGAATCGGGCCGTCCTGCAGAACCCACAGTCCGACTTTAACCCTGCCGTGACGGAGGGGATCCTTCCCGCCCCGGACTCTGCTGCTGCCGCTGCTGCTGCAACAGTTGTAGCTCTCAAAGTTTTATAAGACGCCATGAAATTTGAATAACAGGATGCAGAGGCACCCCGGTGGCAAAACATGTCGTGTGGCTGCAACAGCCCCGGTGTGAGCCCGGCTGGGGACCTCTGTTGCATGTCGTAGCCGTTCCCCATGTTTACTGTCAGCTGCTCACACACAGGGGACGGTTAAAGCTTCCCGGCATGAAAGATTAAGGAAATGCTTTCCTCAACGAGGAAATATAGTTAAATGCAGGGATGCCTAAGCTGTGGCTTGGTTCTGTTAGAGGACGTGTGCTGGCTTTGATACGATACCTACAGTAATGTTTAGCTGACCTAAAACTATTTATGTTAACTGAATGAAAAGTTGCCTGATTTCTGGTTGGACATGAAGATTTTTGAACACATCCTGGACTGCCTTGTACTGACATTGTCCAAAAAAAAATCACAATTTCTTTATGAATTACACAAAAAATAAATTAAGATCAGCTCACACGTCACATGGCTGCATATCCAAGTGCACATTTTTTGCAGAGATAAGTGGGAAAAGCACTTTAATGCACATTTTAATCACCTACTTTCACTATTCTGCAGGAATTCACGTGTAAATGTCTGACTTTTAGCAGTTTACAGCAACACAAGTTAATGTTATGTGTACGAAAGCTGCATGTAAAAGCGTTAATGACACAGTTTGACAAAAAGTTAGCGAGACAAGTTAGACAGTTATTATTCTAAACGAATCACCTCTTCAAGCTCAAGAAAGTTTGCCTGTTACAGAATTAATTTATTTGTTTGAATCAGGAATACGTTATTGATCCTTCAGGACAAATTGCCAACATTACAGTTGCTCCCGTTCAAAAAATATAAAACAAAAACACGAATGAGCGACTGTGGCTCAGGTGGTAGAGTGGGTTGGCGGTTCGACCCCCAGCCCCTCCACAGTTGAAGTGTCCTTGGGCAAGACACTCGACACCTGAAGTTGCTCCCAGTGGCCGGCTTGCGCCTTGCATGGCAGCTCTGTGTATGAATGTGTGTGTGAATGGGTGAACACATTGGAAAGCGCTTTGGGCAAAGGCGCTATATAAGTGCAGACCATTTACAAATAGAACAATTTGAGGGCATGATGTACTAATCGTATCGGTCACATTTGCTTTTTAAATCTTTTTTTCAAGTCTGTTGGCGAAATACTTTCTTGTATCGGCTTCCTCACTCCTTTAAAACATCTTTTGCAGATGATCTTTGTGGCGTCTTTCCTTCGCTGTCGGCTACTAAATCGAAATAACTCCATATTTTTCGTTGTGCGTCTGCTGTGGACACCTGGCGTCATGGTAAACCCTGTACCTGCTAGCATCGACTGTTAATACGACATTAGCATTTAGCACAGACAGCGTTCATCACAGAGCTGCTTTAAGGCTGTAGGGTTATGTAATATCCTGCAATCAGTAAACAGGATTTACAAACCGTCACAGATAAGTTAATTCATTTATCTTTATTTCAGGGAACTTTTCTGTATTATAATTATTAAACTAGTTGAGCCTCTGTTGATGATACAACAGTAATAATCAGAAGTCAGACCAATTAGCTCAAACATAATCAACTTTATTTGCTGCTTTGACACAAAAGGAAAACTCTCACGTTTCTTATTACGGTGACTAATCTACACGAGGAATCTGTCTGATGAACATAATTCACTCTGATTTAAGAGTTCTTTGATGTGCAGAGTTGCTTTTTCTTTTTCTAATTTTTATTCACGGGACTTTGTTGACAGGCTGACTCCACACGTGCACCGCAAAAGAAACACCGAAAAGGAAGATTTAGTTGCTGGATAGAAATATTTCAGCTACAGAAAGAATAATGTCGACCAGAAACAGGTGCTTTGTCTGCAGCGTTTGGCAGTTTTTGCTTTTTTTTGCCATTTAAATTGGCCCCGCAAAGCTCCGAATGAGCCAAAACTGGATGCCATTAAAAACAGAAAAGCTGCTTTGAATCTCTTATCCAGCGTTAACCACATAACCACATTGTTTTTCATTTTCAATGCA